CACACACACACACACACACACACACACACACACACACCTGATTCCAGTTGACTTTTGCCCCTTTTTCAGTGGAGAAACCGAGTCTTCAAAGACGAGGCGGGGAGAACACAGCGGAGCGTCATGGGGGGAACTGAAGTCCAACAACACCACATCTATCTGATGGCGGAGGGCGCCAGCTCCTTGTTATTGCTTCGTTTGGAATTTCCTTTCTCCCGTTCTCTCTTAGGCCTTTTGTAATCATATTCTACACCAGGATGTCAAATTTACCTCTTGCAGAGCGCAGAGAATGTCTCTGCAGTCCACCGCCACCGCGAACACACACTCGCCTTCATTCTCTGGCCCACAAATGCCTTTCCAGAAGTCTGCACGTTACAGCTTGACCCTTGCATAACTGTGAACTATCCACTTACTGGCCGATTCTCCACTGTCTGTGCTTATTTCCCCTCTCTGCTTCAGGTGCGGAGGTGAAGTGCACGCTCTCCTGTAGAAATTCTGAGAAAACAAACAGGCCTTCACAAAGTATTTTCTCGACTTGAAACTCAATTCTTCGCTGCTAAACGAAGCTGAAATGTGATCGTGCTGCTTTCTGAGGAATTTGCATCATTTAACTTTCTTTTCCCGCTGGTTCGCAGTGACACTCCTCTTCCACTCCCGCCTCTTCAGACTCCAAAGTATGTTCTGGTGTCAGAAAGACTCCGAGGACACGATGGTTTCAGTGACAGAGACGGGAAATAAAATGAATTTGTTGTTGGTTGCGAGCGATGGAAAGACATCACCGTGCGCATGAAGACACGACAGAAACATCATCGTCCCTCCTCCTCAACCTGCTGTCACCGCCGCAGGTGCAGAAACATAGACTGTAAATAAAGATGGACGACATGTCTCCACTTCCTCCCTCTCTCCAGAAGTGAAGCCAAAATATCTCAGATAAAAACCATGTCACCTTTTCTATTTGTCTCAAGACCTCTCTGTTTCCCACAAAGCCTTTCCAGCGTCACACACTCTCTGTCCCCGTGAAAAACGATCTGTGCAGCTCGGAGCTTATCTCGCTGCCCCCCCCCCCCCCCCCCCCCCAGCCTCTAAAAGGCCTCATCCATTACCACAGTGCAGGAGGGCAGCACACACACACACACACACACACACACACACACACAGAGATGGATCTGAGGTTAAGTGCTTTCAAAGCGTCCTCCTGCTTTTCCATCAGGTATTTTAAACCGGATGTGTCTCCGTGTGCAGGTGAGGTCGTGGAGCCGCTGCCCGAGCAGGGCGTCAGCGAGGTCCCCGCCGTGCGGAAGCCGACTAAAGAGGCCACGTGGCTGGGGCCCAAAGAGAGCGCCGTGCGCCAACATCGACAGGAGCTGAAGACCAAGATGAAGACCAACAAGGTGGAGGAGGTGAAGCCGACTCGACCCAAGCAGGTGAAGCTTCCACTCTGCAGGAACTGTGTTTATATTGAAATGAGCTCATTTCACAGCTTCTATTCTTTTTGTAGATCATTCTCCTAACAGTGTCCTTATGTCTATGCACTGGCGACACCTAGTGGCCGAAGGAGTTCTCATCAACATGATATCAAGAACGTCTTGAGAGAATTTCTTCAAGCTTTGTACAAATATTCGTTTCGACCCAAAGATGAACAGATTTATTTTCAAGGTCAAAGGTTTTTAGGAAGAGTTCTATTTTTTAAGAACTTTTAGAATCAGAATATTTTACCCGCATGTCACAGACACCTGGACACGCCCACGTCTCTGTAAACAGGTTCCTGCTTGTGTTTCAAAGACCCAGTGTCAGCAGGAGCTGGACCAGGTCCTGGAGCGGATATCTAAGATGCCCTTCAGAGATAACCGAGGTCCCCTGGAAGACCTGTACGCCCTGCATATCCCCAACTGTGACAAGAGGGGGCAGTATAACCTCAAACAGGTGAGCACAGGGGCATTGTGGGAAAGAGGGTGAGGGAATGTTGAGAGGCTCGAAGGTGGTAGAGAAGAAGAAAGGTTTTCCCCTCTCACAGATAAAGTGACTGATATTTGTCTTTCAGTGCAAGATGTCTCTGCACGGTCAGCGGGGCGAGTGCTGGTGCGTCAACCCTCACACCGGCCGACCTATCCCATCATCCCCCACTGTGAGGGGCGACCCCAACTGCAGCCAGTACCTCCGAGAGCTGGAGCTGGAGCTGCCCGACACGGTGCAGATATAGAACCCGTAGAAAACAGTCGAGACGAGAAAGAAACAAAAAACAAACTTGGGAACAGAGAAGGTCTGAGTAAGTTGTCTGTGTGTGTCTCCTGCTCATCGACCACAGCGACTTCTGAAACAGGATTAGATCCGTCAGATTAATTTAGAGACGAGGCTCCTCTTCCTTGTAGATCTTCGGCCGGAGCATCTTTGCTTTGCTAATTGTGACTCTGCTCAGACTTTGTGTTTTGTACTGTGTGTGTGTGTGTGTGTGTTGACTCGTTCAACACGTGTTTTCTTGTCCTAGCTTGCAGACGACTGTGAGGCCTCATGTTAAACTGAAGCCTCCGAGTTCACCCGGCTCTAAAGACGAGATGTTGGTGCTGTTAGGGAGGAAATGACCTTAGACTGCGTAGTGATTAACAGATAAAAAAAACCTTGATAGAATTGTCATAGATTCAGTTTGTGCCTGTGTTTTTATTTGAAGTCGTGCTTCTGCACTTTTCAATAAAGAAAACTAATAACTTTAAAAATGCTGTGAAGTGTTTTACCACGACAAAGTGACACTGATGCAGATTTATGAACGTGCAGCAGTTTTAAAATCAGTCGTCAGGAATTCATCCAAATTTAAATCATAAGATTTTAAAGCTGCTGTAAAGATCGTAAGCCCCGCCTCCTCCGTGTTAGCAGACGGGACAGTGAAGCACATGACACAGCCACTAACGTGGGAGGAAACGCCCACCTCCGTGATGTCACAGCGTGTGACACCACCTTCACGCAGCCTCACCTGAGCCTCAAGGTCGCAGCGATCTGCAGAGTCGGCACATTCAAGACACGGGTGCACACGTGTGTTCTAGTGAGTACAGGGACTTTATTTAAATAGTGATTTGTTATTACAAAAACAGAGTACATCAATTACACGCCTGATAAATATTTCACCATGAAGTTCACATTTATCTTTTTTCAAACAGATTCGGAAACGATCACTGTGTTTACAGCATGAGAGAGGTGCTTTATCCAGAGCCTCTGTCAGAACATCAGGAGATTATACGAGTTATTAACCCAACGAATAAAGACTCTGCAGATCTTCGTCTGAAAACCAAACCAATCCAGAACACACCACCTTTTTTGTGCTGGAGCGTTTCCACATGCAAATCCAAATTCAAAGTGGCGTGGGGCAGAAGGCACTTGAATTTACATACAAACTCGGCGACCTTGCTCTTCGCAGGATTTAAAAGGACCCGGCGAACCCTGAGAGCAAGTCGCCATTTGCCTGCGTGGTGGCAGCGACGACCCAGCGCACGGACAAATCCACAACACGGGGCCTTTGCATATGATTTGTGTGGAGGGAAATGCTGAGACATGAAACCAGAGCTTTTTCAAGTTGAGAACTATTAGGGCATGGCACAAACAGTACACACACACACACTCAGGAACACACACACACACACTGTAAGTACATTTACAAACAGCGGACGCAGTTTTCAGGACTAGAAAAAGGCCTTTTAAATATCGAAGCGGTCACAGTACAGTAAATCTGCTGATATCATGAACTCAGTCCGACAGACACGTTTCAAGAAGCTTCACTGGCGAACGTCTAGTTTGACAACTTCATCTGTCGCTGGAAAAATCTAACATTCCCATAAATCACAGGACAGAACGTAGCATGTTTGGTTTTTGATTCAAAGCTGGATTTCTTTTGTTTTCTCGTATTTATTTGGTCCGAACTATGTGCCCCCCCCCCTCCCCCGGTATATTCACGCTCTGTTTGTAGAACCAGTACAAACTGAACCTTTCTGCAACACAACAACTAGATTTTCCCGTAAAAAGTCAAACTGGTGTGATTTGGCTCAAAGCAGTGAAGACACGCCCCCTATCACTGTCAGCTGATCTGCCCCCCCCCCCATACACAATAAAAATAAAATCCGACCGGTCCCAGTGGATCGTGCAGAAACGTTTCGTGCTCAGTGACACCCTCCCCTCGTCGTTAACAACAATCACTGAAACGTTGCCTCCAAACTGTCCGACTTGATTTTCAGCCACATTTAAAATATGTCTTGTCTCGTGATTTCAAATTTAGCAACATATGACATATGACTCAGTACACAACACGTTATCTATATCATACAAATATATATACTTCTCTATTATCTATGGATATGAAGAGAATAGTACACAGTCGGTGACGTGTGCAGACTCGGTGTGGCTCCCCTCAGAAGACTGCCCAGACGCAGTCCGTCACACCGACCACACGTGAGCTCCTGTGTCTTATTCTCCTGACTGGCAGTCGTCACGTGTGCGAGCTTGATTGGCAGGTTTTTAGCAGAGGTTTTTTTTTTTTTTTTTTTAACGCCACTCATTCGTTGCTGTTGCTGCTGCCGCTGTCCAGGTCTTTGCACTGCAGGTCTCCTCCGGCGTAGTTGATGCCGGGGATTTTCACACCAAACCGGTCGACGCACCAGCAGATCCCCCTTTTCCGACCGCGGGAGGGCTTACACTGCAAAACAAGACCAGGTTAGAGGAGGACGAGCTCGTTCAGTCCGAGAGTGAGAAGACTGAATGACACGAGAGGACGGATTTACCTGTTTGCGCTTGAAGAAGCCCTTCTTGTCACAGTTGGGGATGTACAGAGAGAGCGCCAAGACCCGAGACGTGTCCTTCATGCTCTGAATGAGATTATCCAGTCTCCTCCTGCAGGGCCCCTACACACACACACACACACACACACACACACACACACACACACACACACACACACACACACACAGGTATGAGTAATTGCAATCTCAATTTGTGCACGGGCGTTAAACATCGGTGAAAGTTTGTGAAAAGCCCCAGTAATGAAAAGTAAAGCTGCGGGAAAAAGCTCCACTAATGAGAATGTCTGTAATCTGGCATTTCACTCAGTTCACACCGTGTTGTGTGAACGAGGCCCCGCAGGCGTCTTGGCGGCCGATTTGTCAGAACGAGTCTCCTCACCAGTGTGCAAGACAAATAAAGCCTGAAGCAGCAGGATGCAGTGTGGGAGATTTTCCCACTCGTCCAAACCAAATATGGTTTGAAAGAAAATTGTTCCGAATCTCGATCGGTGAAGCAAAACAAAAAAAAAACTTTCCCACTTACGAACTCAGGGTCCAGTTTATCCAGGCTTAGCGGGGAGAAGTCCAGGTTGCTGGCGGGCCCCAGCTTGGCCAGCTGCTTCTTGCGGTCCTTGGCCTGCTTCATGGCCTGGGCCTTCCGACTGCTGATGTGGTCCCTGCCATATAAGGGCACCTTGGTCTGGGGAAGCACCGCCTCGGGGACGGGGAGCAGGGCGTCGTCGTGACCTTCGTCTGCAGGGGACAAGGACAGAGAGACGGGTCTTTTATCAGAGCTGGCTGCTTGAAATCTGGAAAATGAATCAGCACTTTAGTTTTTCTGTATTCTGATATACCTGCAGGAGCCTGTGTTACATCACGTGCATGAATGAATCTCCAGCTCTTGAGGCTGCATCTTCATGACGATGATCCGAGAGGAACATCTCTTTTTTATCTCGAGCACATTTTGAATGTTGTGCTTCTTTATTGTCGAGTTATTGGTTATTGCTGAAATGTATTTATGAGCCTGTTGTCTTTGTTTTATCTGCTGAAATTCCCCAAATGAAGCAAATACCAAACGGTCACTCCCAGCACATTAAACAGGACTACAGATTACAGAGGTGCAGTTATCTGAAACCCGTTCACGCAGGATTACCATCATCAGTAATTTACACCAGAACTTTCAGGATTAAAATAACCGATCACAAACATCTTAACGTCCACAGGTGGAACTTGTGTGAACCTCGGCCTCAAAGCATTTTTCTGTCGCTTTCAGGCGACTTGTTTGAAGAGGCGTCAAAATCCAAAGCGCCGTGACGGCTCCCACCTGGAGACGCAGCTATTTGAGAGGCTAAAATTAAAAAGCAGAGCTGAACTAATGAGGGCGCGGGACACGAGCGTCCAATGTGGAAACGTCACGGCACAACGTGATGATTTCACTGCAGCGGCTCAATGTGTATTTAGCACAGTTGGTGGCTGCGGGCCAGTTTGAGATTGGACGTGTTGACACACTGGACGACAGAGCCTACATTTATGGTGAGTTGGGTTGCCAGTTTGGGGTATATGTAGACCAGGGGTTTTAAAACTTTTATAGCCAGTGACCTAAATGAGATATTTAGTCTCACCCTGGCACCCAGGCCCATGAAAACATGCTATTACACTTGTCATGTGGCGAGCCACCAGAAACAGCCGCAGCCCATTCGGGCCCCAACCCCCACAGGAGCCCTCGTGTACATGCACCTTTCATCTGAGCAAAAATACAGCTCTCCGCTGGTGTCTGGGGGAGTCGCACTCAGTCGCACAGACCTCGGCCCTCTCCCTCGTCCCTCTCCCTCGTCCCACCCTCTATTCATGTGACCACGACGAGTGGCTGCGGCTTCTCTAAACTCATATTTCACTTAATTTATAGCTTCTAATGTGCATTAGCCTCGTATGGGCCCTAAGCCACAGTTGGCCCAGTTCCACCGCCGTGTCACGCACTTGTTTCCGTTTCATTTTGGCAGATTTGAAAACTCTGCATTTAAACCCCTCTGCTCCTGCGCTGACGTGATCGCTAAGCTACTGAGCAAACTGGGCGGTGAAACAAGGTCAGGGCCTCGTTGCAAATGATGCTTAAAACCTCTTCCAGCACCTCCTCCTCCTCCTCCTCCTCCTCCCCCACAGCGATGATGATGATCGTAATGATGTCATCGCTCCCCATAATGACAGCCTCTTGGAAAAACCAGGAGAGATCCCCCTCCAGTTTCCTGCTGACACAGTTCTTTCTCTCTCCTCCAGTTTGAGTCCAATCAAGTCTTCACTTGTTAATCCTGCAGCTCGTCTAATCTGACCTGTGCTGACGGATCACATCTCTCATTTCTTTTGCTGTCTTCCTCTCTCTGTGTTTGAATTGTGAGTCACGGAGAGACGGACCTCTGCTGCAGAAAAACCTCATTCCTCTCTTCTTCCCTGCACTTTCTTTGCTCTCAGCTTGGACTTGCTGCCTCATGGTGTCACGTGCACTCGTAAGAATGAACGTGCATCGTGGTGCTTTAATGCAACCCTGCAAAAATCTGGCTTTCACGATAGTTTTGTGTGTCGAGCACCCAGCAGGAGATGTGCAGTTAAAGCTGATTGGCAGAACGACAAGGAAGACGAGGAAGACGAGGAGGAGGAGGGTCAGTAACCCACGCTCTCAGCCTGTATTCTGCTGAATCACTGCACAGCCTGAGACACGGAGAGGGAGGGAGGGAGAGGAGGAGGACGATGAAGAGACCAGGGTGGGACTAACAAAGAGCGGAGGGAGGGAGCAGAGGATAGTGTGGGAAAGGGAAGATGAATAGAAGACTGGGAGTTTTCTCTTTTTCTTTTGGTTATACAATCATTTCTCAGATGCTGAGATGAAATGATCTGCCTCAGATTAAGATGATGTTCTGTGAGTCTGCGACTGGTCTCGTGTGAACGTACAAAAACGACTTCATGCTGACGTTTCTCAGCCAGACACGCTGCAGCTCTCTGGCTCGGCCCGCTGACAGATTATTTATGTTTCCAGACGAGCACGGCCTCAACACTAAAACTCCAATCTGCAGGAAAATAAAGCACAAGACAGAAAGGAAAGGGTGAGGGGGG